CCAGGGAGGGCCCAGAGCTCTGTTGTTTTAAGCCACCACTGAAACCGGGGCCTGAGACAGGGCTGTGAGAGCCCCCCCAAATCGCAGCTAGGGCTGTTAGCGCCTCCCCACCCAGGGCACAGCTCTCTCACTGCACAAGTTCGGGTCCACCCTAAGCCTCGTGGACAGCTGCCCCCACGAGAGCGCGAGGCAGCACCCCAGGGTGGTCCCCCGGCCCCCACCAGCTCCCGGGGTACCCAGCCTCGCATCCGCCCGCCTGGCCTTCCCTGCCTGTGGGCTTCGGGCCGTCACAACCTGCGGCCTCTAGCCAGCTGGTCTCACGCGGTGGTAGAAAGACAAAACACGTTGAGCCAACAAAGACGACTGCCCAAGTGGCCAAGGTCTCCTGACCCCAAGAGCCACACGCGTGACGACAGGTTGTAGCTCAAGCCGACGCGCCGAGCAGCACACGCCAGGCTCACGGCGCGTCCCAGGGGCCACGCAGGTTACAGCCGCTGCAAACGGGACTCCAGCTTGAAACGCTCGATTCAGGGAAGACGCCGGCGGGAGGGACAGAAAGCCCTCGGTGGCTGCCCCGGGGTGGGCCGCTCTCTGCCCTTGGCGGCAAATGTCCACCGGGCGGTGAGCGGAGCAGAGAAAGCGGGCCTGGGCGGTGCTGCAGCCTGCCGCCTCCCGTGAGGCTCACACGGCAAAGGAGGCAGGAGCGGCCTCGGGTGGGGGGCCGGGACCCCAAGTGAGCAGCAGCGGGAGGGCTGGACACAGGGCTCGGCCTGGACACAGGGGCTTCCCCACGTGAAGCAAGGGCCCGTGGGGCGCCTTCAAGGCACTCACGCTCCCAGCCCCAACCTGCCCCGTCCCTCCCCGCCAGGGAAAAGCTTGGCAAGCAGTTTCCAGAAGATTCAGAAAGGGTGTGCATGCTGAAAAGAGGGAGAAAAGTGAGAAAGAAATGCATCTCGGTCCTGTCCTCAAATAAAACTTCTGCCATGTCCTTCCAAGCCTTCACTTGCAGGCTGTCAACGGTGATGGCTTCTCACTGACCAGTGAGGTCCACGCAGGGGCCTTGAGATCAGGCCTGGGGCCCCCACATCGACTATGGGAAAGCTCCAACCTTTTTCTTTTTAAAAAATTTATTTACTGATGCACACAGAACAAGGGCGCAGGCCAGAGGGGCGGGGGCGGTGAGAGGACTCACCAGAGGCAGAGCGGGGAGCGGGACAGGCAGATGGATGAAGCCCACGGCTGAGGGGAGCAGCGGGGAGACCGGAGGGGTCTGCCGCGCCCTGGGGGTCCCCTCCGGGGCCGGGGACCGAACTCGCACTGAGGTGGCTGCGTTATTCCCACGCGGGACAGGGACCCAGGCGCCCGGACTCCGCCGCGAGCCGCAGCGACGCTGGGCCGGCGCCCCGTCCGCGCCTGGCCAGCGAGACCCCGGACACCCCTTCTACCTGTGAGTTTATGATCCTGAAAGTGTTTCCAAAAGCACCCCGGGGGCGTGCTCATAGCTTCTCCCTCCATTAACCTAAAATGCCCAAAGAGTGGGATTAGGCTAAAAAGACCTGGCGCGGCCTCAACCTCCCTCCCCCAAGCGATGGGGGTGTAAGGGGGTGCGGAGGGGGGGCAGAGTCCTCGTCACCCGCACCGGCCACCCACCTGCAGGCGGGGAGACACAGAACAGCTCCTGCCGGAAGTCTACCCACCCCCCCACCCCCCACTGCCAAGGGCGTCGGATCTGTGAGAACAGAGCGGGGAGATTCGAGAACTCTCTGAAGCACGTCGTGATGGATACTAATGATTCACGCGACCGCAGCTCCCAAGTGAATAAACAAGTGGAGATGAAATAATAAAGCTTGCACAACATACAGTCATAAAATGTGCTCTGTTTTACTGGTGATTAACACCTCACGGAACACCCCTCGACAAGCCAGGAGGGTCTGCGGGAAGCGACGCTGCCTTGGTAACCCGTAATGCCCAGGGAGCGCTAAAGCAGGAAGACGCCTTTGACGGCCCTGGTGAAAACGCAGGGCTCCCAGGCCACTCCCGCCGAAAATAATGCAACCCGACTCCCAACGAGCCAATCCAGAAAGGCAGAAGGGCGGGAGAGCGGCAAGCTAGGCCCCGGGGGACCACCCTGTCAGGCCTGTGAGGACGACACAGACACCCTGTGAGCCGGGGCCCTGGACGTCCTGACCGTGTCCTCTGCGGGCCGCAGGTCCACACAGACCTGTCACAGACGCGAGTGCGAAACGTAATGCCCACTGGAGATTGTGCAGAAAACACAAACCGAAACGCCAGGCTTCGTGCCAACGAGCATGACCCTGAATTTCAGGGAACTGCGTGTACAGCGCCCCAAATTTAGAATTCGCTTTTCTGTCGAGAGAGTACTGGGGACCGGCTTCTACGTAAGGGACTCTGACACCCTCAAAATTAGCTCTGGATGGGTTTGCGCGGGCCCCACTTCAAGCTGATGGCGCCGCCCGATTCTGGTCTTTCGGGGGGTGGGGGGGTGAGGGGGGGATCCCAGGGCCACCATCCTTCCCT